GCTCTATCCATCCAACCGCCGTCTGTACTTCCTTGCTACCTTTCTATACCAAGCTATCAGAACTCAGCGACCCTTCCTATATTTTTCACAGCCTACAATTTAAACATTCCATGCAATCCCGTCCCACTAGATCCCGTACTTCTGACCTCTATCCACCTCACCGAACTGCTGCGTTTGACAAATCCTTTATAATTCAAGCCGTCTCCATCAGGAATACCACCCCTCCCAATATTCGACATGCGCAATCAGTTTCCTCATTTAAATCTCTCCTTTTTAAGCACCTACTTCTTTCCCAACCAGATTGATCATGAAAAGTATATAAGAACTTTTTAAGTTCCCCTAGAAATGATTTTGTTTAATTATGTTATTTTATTTTCGCATGTTTGTAATATATATATCTGTACGTATTTATTGTTTTTGATTTTGTTTTATTTTTCTTCCAATATTTTTATTTTAAAGAGCATTGAAAATATTTAATTTAATTTTATGGCCACACAGGCATTTTCCCTGTATCTATGATTTGTCATAAAGGGACAAAAGTCCCAGGATAATAAAAATATATTTTCATTTCATCATTGTGTTTCTAGCAACTATTTATTTAAAAAAAGCTAATGGTCTCACAACAAAAAGTGAACGCAATGTCTCAAAATGGCAGATTGACGGCTTGGACTTCAGTTAGATTTTCGGTCTCTGAGATATAGCATTTGGTTTAATTTCATCATAATTGGCATTTTATTAAAGCTGAATAGTCAGAGAATAATAAAACATGAAAAAAATATTTGGTTTAGGCAATAAAAACAATGGTAAAGTCAATTTATTCAAAGTAATGTTGAAAATCAAGAGTTGTTTGTAAATAAACGGCCAAAAATAATGAAAAGTGCCTTGAAATAAAACATATGGACAATACATTTCTCTTTCTAAATCAGTACTTATTTTTAAAATATTTGAAACAGTTCCTTAGTAAATGGAAAGGTTTAGAATTCGAATAAAACCTATAGAATAAAAGTTTAAGATAATTTTATAAACTTCACAATTTATTATATTTATTAAATTTCCCCTGCAACACACTGTTTTCGAGATATAAGTGAATATACAAAAATTGTGACCTCTCCTTCACCTCTCCCTAGCTCACCATTTAGATTTCAAAACTAGGCGTGGGTTGATACAAAAGTTTTTGTACCTAGATATAAGTGATACTGATACTTTTTTTCATGAAGAAGAAAAATAAATTTTATTCTGGGACTAAGTCCCCTTAGAATAACTACAATGTACAATTTAATGAAAATTGTCTGAGATTAGAAATAATTAGGAATAAATTAAATTACAAGGTTATGTCGATCTAAAATTAAAAATTAAAATTAAGAAAAGGCACCGGGGTAGACAGACATATGAAATTATAGATAAATTCTGATGTGAGAGTTCATATATTTGTACACATTAATAATGTGGATGATATATAATCATTAGTAAGAAAACATTAAATGCGATTAACAGGTCTGAAAAACGTGAACATTATTTTACAAATATTTGGAAGGTGAATTGCCGAGGAGACGGATAAATAAATTATGTTTAAATGAGGTCAAGGATGAGGATTTGTGTATAGAGGTTGGTAGGAAATTCCAAAACAATGTAGCACGTATGACAAAGGATTTTTTAAAGGATATAGTTCTATGAGAAAGAATAAACAGGTTTGAGGGCTGGGATCTCGTGTTGAATGATTGGACTGAGGAACAAGGGGTAAACAAATCAAGAAGGTAAGAGGGTGTTTAGGTTGAAAAGGTTCAAAAAAGGAATACACCTAGGAAGTATTGCCATCAGAAGACTGGATAGAGCCACTTCAACTCGGCATACCAACTGAAGAAGTGGGACTCCAAAAATAAATCTAATGAAAAAATTAATTTTTTGTATCATATCATATCATATCTGATACAAATGGATAAATAGTTTTGTCATTATCTTCCTATTACTTTGTATCTGTTGCAGTATTTATGCAAATCTGTATATATAAAAAATATGTACCTGTTAGCTAGTTATTTTAATTTAAATTTTATTGAAGTTGTTAAATTTTTTTTTATTTAAATATGTTAACCATAATGTTAATAAATGTTTGTTTTTATAAAGTCTACAGTCTTTTTTGGCAGTGAAATTAATTATTATAATATATCGATAACATCCACCTTATTTTCATATCATTTTAAACTAATTAGGTTAAGAATTCAATTTCTTCTAAGCTATGTTTTTTTTATATTATATATATAAACTCATATATTTGTGTATGTTAAACTTAGTTATAAATAGTTTTTTTTTATAATTGTTACAAAATTCTTTAATTAGGAAACATTTTTTTCTGCATGAATTTAACTATTTTTATTTTTAATTAAATAAATTCCATTCTTTTTTACAATATAAAGCATATTTTATTTCAAAAATTGTGTACATATCTTCATAATAACTGACATTGACGTTACTATATAGTCATTAAAACTATTATATTTAAAAATGGTGTTAAGTATTTATTAAAGAGACAAATTTAATAATAAAGGAATAAAATATATATAGTACATATTTAATATATGTTTTATAAGGTATCAGAAAGATATTAAAAATATCAAACCTAATCAGCAATCAATTACAGTTGGATACTCTTTATTTCAGAGAATATGGCTCGATAATCAGAGAAAAATATCCAGTTTCAACATGAAAACGACTCCAGCATCAGATAAAAGTATCTAACCCTCACAGTATCAAGTCCAAGTATTAGATAAAAGTACCTAACCTTCAGTGTATCAAGTACAAGAATCAGATAAAAGTATTTAACCTTCAGTGTATCAAGTACAAATATCAGATTTTTTTCTGTCGGCATTACAGACCATGTAGATCTTTTGCCACCTTAACAAGCCTGCTCCATCTCTGCCTGTCTTGGGCTGTTTCTTTCCAGTTATCTGTACACAGCTCTATTACATCTTTGTTGATTCTTTCTATCCATCTGCTTTTCGACCTTCCAAGGGGTCTTTTGCCATCTATTGAGGCATTCATTGTTATGTAGAGGCTTCCAGATGGATTGCTACAAAGTACATACACCGCCTATCTTAACCTCTATGCCTTCATATCATGGGATATTGATTGGCCAGTTTCTGTAAGCAGTTCTTTATTTGTTAGAATAGGAATATAGGAGAGATTTGTATATGAATTTGTATATTTGAGTGGAAGGTGATTGTGAAGAGTTGAGAAAAGGAGTTGTACTGTTTTTGGTTGAATAGTTGTTTAACAGTTTAAGTATAGTGTTAAGAAGTAGAAGGAAATTATTGGGAAAGTAATAAATTTTTGACACGCAGATGGTTTGGTGGTATTATGGAACAGATAAAGAGAGATATTGGTGAATTAGATTTTTGGCGGTATTGATTTTTTGGTGGTATGGGTGTTATGAGTAAAAGTTAAGTAGTCTACCTGAGTAGGTGGGTTTAGTATACCAGTCAGTCATCAGTGTTTCTGGTTATTAGGAGGTCTAAAAAGAGGAGAGAATTGTTAACTTCTGTCTCAACAGTGAAACGAAAATAGGGGTAGTAAGAGTTAAATGAGGAAAAGATTTGAGGGATGCTGTCAGGATTAAGAACAAGAAGGAGGTCATCGATACATTTTTTAATGAAAATGATATCTTGATGGAAAGAAGGGATAACGGAATCTAGGAGATCATTGAGAACCATGTTGTAAATATCAGGTACTAAAGAGTTTCCCATAACTAGACCTGAAATCTGATTAAAGAATATACCTTGAAAAGTGAGGTAACCAGATCTGCAACAAAGCTCAAGGGATTAAAGATATGAGGTAAGGTTGAGTTGAGAATGATGTGAGGCTCAATAATTGTCCAGTTTTTTTGTACAATATGGAGGGCTTTGTCTATTGAAATGTTAATAAATAAGCTTTCAGTGTCAAGGGAAACAAGGATAAAATTGTCAGGGATATGGAGAGAATACAACTCTTGTTTGAGGTGAAATGAATTAATTATGTCATAGGGATTATTGTGGCTAAGTTGTTGAAGAGAGGGTAGAAGAAATTTGCTAAGTTTAGCTGAAGGGGGGTTTATATTGGAGATGATATGGTAGAGGGAATTTTCAGGTGTGTGAATTTTTGGAGGCCATATAAGCAGGGTGCTAAGGAGTTGAGCGATATAAAGTTGCAGTAAGTGGGGCAGTTAATTTGTATTGTCTCGAGTAAATTTTTTATTTGTTTGTTAAATTTTAGCATTAATGACCGGGTTGGGTCACGAGGGGAGGGTACGTAAGTCGATTGGTCTGATAGGAATTGTTGTATTTTGTCTGAGTATTCAGCCCTGTCCATAAATTTCATAGTTCAAGACCAAAGTTCTGACCCAGGAACAATAACAATAAAAGGCTTAGCGAAACCGAAGGTTCGATGCCGACACCACTAATTGCTTATTACACACCTCCCTCCACCGTTCGCCGTCCAAACCCAGTCCCTTCAGATAGGCTTTTCTGACCCAGGAAGAACATTGAAAATTATTTCAAAAGATTGGGGAGGACACCAAGCTTGTCATGCATTATTACATCCAAATATGGAGTTTTATTTATTTTAAGAACCTATATCTGTTAAATAGACACCTCTTCTTTTACAGCCCATGACTCAAGGGCCCATTTCAATAAGGCAGGAAATCATAGGGAAAATTGGAGGGTCATTGTTAACTCAAGTTAATAGGATGGAGATTCTGTCATACTGAAGATGAAAGAAGCTACCACATCATCAACCGGTGGGACAGATCCACAAGCCTGAGGTTTAGTGTGTCAGAAATAAATAGCTTAGTGGATACTAATCCTCAAACCTTCTGAGATTCGTAATATCTCACATTTCAAACAGCTAGAAAAAGACTCATTGGTGCATAGTGGCGTTCATAAAAAAACATATTAAATTTATGAATGCTACATGTTATCATGCTTGTTTTTACAACACTAAACAGTAATATAAGCTTAAAACTATTAACTAACCCTTAGGTATTTGGTTAAGCGGAGGTATCAAGCAAAAAGTGTGATAACTATCATCACAACCATCACACAACAACATTGATTCCTCTATATCACCCCTATGACAGTTAATACATATATACTTGGCCAACTGGAACAAAGAAAACAAGTTTAATATGCTGATGAATAATTAATAATAACCTGAAACATAATTTATAAATAAAAAATACGAATATTATTAGCTTTCAAACTCATAATAAATTAAGAATTCATCCAAATTAGATTAAAATATAAATAGAAAAAACAGCACTGATGATCTCCACTATATAAATTTAAAGCTTCAAAAGAATAAATCAAACAAATTTTTCTCCTCCAAGCAAAGATACTAAATGAGGAAAGCATGGAAAACGCTTGAATAACTACTTCATTTTCAAAGCATATTTAATACTATTTCATGATGTCTATCAATTTTGGTAATTAAAATTCATGATTTTGTCAGAAAATTGCTGTCAAGAAATATTTATACACACATGCAAAGTTATAGCCCTAAATCACACCACCCAGACATCACCTCATACGATTCTGCAAACTCTAACATGAAATGAAAAAATAATTTTATTCTGGGACTAAAGTCCTCTGAGAATAATAATAACATGGTACAAAACAATGGTTCATTAGTCTGGTTTGACAAAATTACTAAGAGGTTCTTTGAATGTAAATTTCAATTGGTATCACAATCATACTTAAACAACAATAATAAACCAATTAACACCAATACATTTTATATGGTTTACAGTATACAAAGAAAAAATAAATAAATAAGTGAAATAAAATCAAATGAGACTTGTGAATTAATTGTTAGTGAACAGTTGTAATTACAGAATCCAATTAGTATTACATAGGTACAGAAGTTTGAAAATGAAGTAGGTGGTGGAGTTGTTTAAAGGAATTTGAGGATGAGAATTGCTGTTGGTGATAGGTAGAGAATTCCAGAAAGATGTAGCATGAATGACGAAGGATTTGATGAAGAATGTAGTTTTATAAGGGATATATAAATCAATAGGTTGAGATATGATATTAAGGGAGTGGGTAGAGGAACGTAGAGTGAGGAGTTCCATGACATAGGGAGGATTTTTAGTTCTTAGGACTTGGAAAAAGAAAACAACAAGAATGAATTGTTGTCGGGAAGTAGAATAGAGCCACTTTAATTATGTATACAAGTGGGAAACATGAGAACATCTTGTAATTCCTATGATGAATCTTATAAAACAGTTCATAAGTCTCTTCAATTTCACCTTCAGTCTTTCAGACAGCCCTCCATACACCAAGCAATCGTAGTCGAAGTGGAGAAAAACGAGATAGGTTACAAAGAGCTGTCTGGTTTTATGAGGAACATAATCACAGAATCTTAGAAGTTGATTAAGGACAGTTATAGATTTTCGAGGGTTATTTGAGAAATACGGTTATTCCAGGAAAGGTTGTGATCAAAAATAACTCCTAGATTTTTTATTGTAGTGAAAAAATGAATGGGAAGGTTATGAGGTAGAGTAGAGGAGAGTAAGAATGGGAACTAATGAGATGCATGGAACTGATGAGTAGCCTTTGTTATATCTGCATTCAGCTTTAACTCATCAGCACTTTATATAAGGTATATAAACCCCCAAAGCTGATCTCTCTCTCTCTCTCTCTGCACTCTGAGTCAGTTCAGAGGTGAGTCTCTTTTAGAGTACTTAAGTAGCTTCGATATTGAGATTCTAAATAGGGGCAATGTTGCCACCTCGGAAGTAATAGACACAACATTAGGCACACATTGCTTGAGTTCTAGGATAAGGGGATGGCATGTTTCTAGTGAAGAATCATGCTCTGATCACCGTCATATCAGATTTGACTTGTCTGGATATAATGTGACTGAATCTATATACAGAAACCCAAAACGTACAAATTTATACAGTTATACTGTACAGTAGATACTGTATATAGTTAAAGGAAGAAGTCAAATGCTGTCCTAAGATCATTAGGAACTCTAAGCATTTGGAATACCTCAACTTCTTATATTATGAGGCCTTACACTGACAATAGCAGTGCCAGATTCAACAGGAATGTTCCCTGGTGGAGCTATGAACTTGGCAAGCTAAGAGCCTCAACCAGAAAACTCTTTAGTGCTGCCAACAGTACGGGCAGATAGGATTTAAGCATATAATACAATAAGGCTGTACGTAGGGCAAAAAGGGGACGTGGAAAAACTTTTGTAGTGACATTAATAATATGCCAGTAGTGACATCCACATCCGGAGTCCAAAAATTTTGTCAAATCAAACATATTGCTCGGTCAGGGTTAAAGGAGGTAACAACTATTCTGGAGAGGATACTCTGGAGGCTCTGGCGAGTGCTCATTTTCCTGGCTGTCAAATGCTTGATAAGTATATATTTAATCCCACTATGGATAGCTACATCTGTGGCAAAGACAAGTGAGTTGAAGCCAAAAGAACTGTGAATTCTAGGAGAGTGGAATTTTTTCAGCGGAATCTCTTTGATTATTTACTGAATATAGTTGAACTGTACACCAGAGCAGTTGTTATTTACAGTTTGCTACATATTTTTTTTTAATATATTTTTTTTTTTTTTTTTTTTTTAATTTTTTTTTTCTTCTCTTATGATATGCGGCACTGTCAGCCAGTGATGTCCAGTAAGGTGCCCACTAAGAGGACTCGGTCAGACGGAGTTAGTACCCCTCGTGATTCACCAGTGAAACAAAGAACTCGTCGCTGCCTGCGAGAAATAGCTCCAATAACCACAGTGAAAACTTCAGATACAGAACCTCAGCCTCAACCAGGTACTTCTTCGCAAGAAATGGTTGAAGAATCTCCTTTCTTCACTCCAAACCCGTTCCAAGTGCTTCATAATGACAGAGAAGTAATGGAGTCAGCAGCAGTACCCAGGGAACCAAGGCCTCCTCCGATATTTGTTAAAAACATCAAAAATTTTCAACTACTGTGTACACAGCTAAACGAAATCTGCTCCGGCAGTTATTCTTGCCTCAACAGGACTAACGACACAAAAATAACACCTGATACTGCAGAAGCCTACCGAAAAATTGTGAAGTACCTGTCAGAAACTAATGCAAATTTCCACACGTACCAGCTGAAACAGGAGAGATCGCTACGAGTGGTGGTTAGAAATTTACACTCCTCAACCCCAACTGAAGTGATAAAAGAAGAACTAGCGACGCTTGGTTTCAAAGTGCGTCAGGTAACCAACGTTCTGAAGGAGAATAAGGAGCAGCCAGGAGTGAGTAATAAAGCTCCACTACCTTTATTTTTCGTGGATCTAGAGCCATCACCTGGCATTGAAAAAATATATGATATCAAGAGATTGTACTACACTATCGTGAAGATAGAGAAGCCATACCCCAAGAAGGAAATTGTGCAGTGCCACAATTGCCAGGCGTATGGCCACACGAAAACTTATTGTCACCATCTGCCGCGTTGCGTGAAATGCGGTGAACAGCACAAATCTGTGGAGTGCACCAAACCAACACAAGATCCTGCAGTGTGTGCACTATGCCAGGAGGGACACCCGGCCAACTACAAAGGCTGCCAAACCTATAAGAGCCTCAAATCCAGATACCAGAAGAACCGGATTCAAGATGAGACAACCAGACCAAGAAGAGAACCTTCTAGAATTGTTAACAATAATTTATCATACTCCGAACTACTTGGAGGTAAGAACCCCAATAATACATGTGAAGCCCTGCCGCAGCAACTACCTCAGCCCCAATCTCAATATTCTGTTCATCCTAACACACATAATCATCAACAACCTCAAATTCCTCCTCCTTCAAATGCAACAGATCTCACTAGTTTGTTAGCATCTTTCCTAACCGATTTCAAATCCCTAGTCACTCCACTCATATCACTCCTTACAAATCTCGTATCTCACCTCATCCCTCCTTTGAAAAATCCTTAATGACCCACATACCAAAACCCATGTCCATTCTCCTTTGGAATGCGAATGGTGTTAGAAATCACGTTGACGAACTAACAGCTTTACTACAAGACAAGAACATTGACGTAGCCCTAATTACAGAAACTCGACTGACCATAAAACAGCATTTAAAAATCCCACAGTATTTAACATACCGTACTGACCACCCTGATGGCAGAGCACATGCCGGCACTGCTGTCATCGTACACCAATCCCTCTCCCATCACTTACTCCCATTACCTACTCAAGATTTCCTACAGTCAACCGCTATTGTAATCAAAGCCTTCTCCTTTCCAGTCACCCTTGCATCAGCATATTGCCCTCCTAACAGATCCATATCCAAAGTCCAGTTCAGTTCTCTCCTCAACTCCTTAGGTCATCATTTCATCCTGGGTGCAGACTTAAATGCCAAGCATCAAGTTTGGGGTTCAAGAACCACGAATTCTCGTGGCAGAACATTTCTGTCTGCACTCAATACCCAACGTTTCAGTCTCCTTCCACCCAACTCACCTACCTACTGGCCCACAGATCCTAACCGCAATCCCGATATCCTTGATTTTTTCATCCACAGTGGCTTAGGTCCCCTCAATCATTCCCTTACCCCTCTTGGCGAACTATCCTCAGATCATAGTCCATTATTACTCCAATTATCTCTAGCTCCTATTCCTAAGTCTTCTCCACCGTCCTTCATCAGAGGCCCAGTTAACTGGAAACTCTTTCACCAAATCCTTACCGATAAAATTGACCTCAGAATGACCCTGAAAACCCCAGATGACCTTGACAATACCGTACACTTTTTTACCACCACTATCCAACAAGCAATCTGGACTGCTTCCTTTCCAAACCACTCCTCAAGAACTCCTAAGAAAAATAAGTTACCTCAACACCTCATAGACCTAATCCATACCAAACGCCGTGCCAGATTATTATGGCAACGTACTAGACACCCCACCGATCGCCAATCCTATAATTATTTTTGCAAAAAACTAAAGATAGAATTGGCCACCTTCAGATCCCAATCCTTCAACTCCTACCTCACTTCCCTCTCTTCTCATGACAATTCCCTATGGAAGACCACCAAACATATCCTAAAACCCCATCACATATCACATCCTCTCCGTCGAGGTGATGGCTCTTGGGCAGCATCTGACGAAGATAGAGCCGAAGA